AATGTGATTTTATCACTTCAAATGGAGGCAAGAAAATGAAAGAGCATGAATGAACTGAATAATACCCATTTAAAAAATTGAATGGCTACCATGTTCCAGGTCCTTTATATACATTGTCTCATTCTCACAATAACTTCGAAAGAAGCTATTATTTATTCCTGTTTTATAGTTGAAGAACATAGCTGAACAATTAGGTGACCTGCCTAAGGCCATACAGAGCTAGAATTTTATCCATCTTATCAGTTGCCTCATATGCCCTCTCTCCCCTATGTCACCCTGCTTCCTAAGTGAATTGAACTTCCATGCTATATATATCATGTTTCTGATAAAATTAACAATTGAAGATAGCACTGTCAATAGAGATTGTAAGAACATTATCCTCATGCACTTCCCTCCTCCAAACGCCCCATCATCCACCCCCTTTAAATATAGCTAGGGAGGTAATGTCAGGAAGTGGGTAGAAAGGAAAGTGGTGAGAACACCAAAAGAAAACTCTTGCCTCCCTTCTCTCCTTGTTGATTTAGTCTGTGATTGGGCGAGCTCATTAGGAATCATAGACTCAGATACTTTTAGAGTTCAAACTGTTCTTGGAGACCATCCAAAATAACTCCTTCATTTTAGAAATGAGGAAGCTGCAACTCAGATCAATAAAACTTGCCCAGGACATAGATTTATGTGCTGCCCAACCTGGGTAGGTTGAAGTAATATGCCTAAGGTGTTTATTGACCAGGAAAATGTAACTAACCTATCTGCAAGCCCTGAAGGTCCCAGCATCTCAGAGTGAGAGTCATTCCAGGCTGGAAGGGTGTTCACCAAGATAACTCTGAGCTGCTGGAGCCCAAACTTGACCTGTTCAGGGGCTCTGGGGGAATCTCGGAGGTCCTAAGACACCTCAGAATTGAGAATGAGTGTGTTTTAAATGGATGCATAAAAAACAAACCCCCAAGATATATGGCACCCACTTGTAATAGGCCCATTGAAGTATTCTGATGCAGTACACCCTCAAAGGGTACCAAGTAGCAAAATAAGGCACTGTTTGTTTTCTTATAATTTGCAAAAAAATGTACAGACAGACATATATGCATGATCAGTGATGCAATGATAAGCATGAGTGTTCATTTGCAGAACTACGCCTATCACTCTGGCTTTCATGCTAAGTAGATTACAAATATCATGGAATTAGTGTAGAGCATTAAGATAAGCTAAGAGCGTTAGGGGAAATGGAAGGAAAAAGAACACAGATATGCTATTTTACTCTCTCAGATCGGTATTAAAGTCTTCTCAGACGTGGTGTAACAATATTTGGCTCCTGGGAAGTTGTTTTTTTTTTAACTAATGCTGCATTTATCAGGACTTCGGTTTCTTCCCAGCTGACTAGATGCATGCTACTAGGAAGGAGCTAATGTATACTGAAACCAGTTTTTATGCTTAGAAAATCCTTGAGTTGTTGAAAGGCACACCGGTGTTGTTTGGCAAGTGAGTTGAATCCCAAGTAAAGAATGTCTGCAAATCTGGTCAGTTGGCTAAACTGGTTTCACTCCTATTGAACAACCGCTGGGGTGAGGGATCCTCAATGCTTCTTTAAGAAGCATAATAACTCCAAAGAAATAACTTCCTATGCTACTCCCAGTGGCTTAGGTCTCAAAGAAAGGCTCAGCATTTACTTTAGGATGTTAAATGTATTCCTGTCAAGTTTATTAATTTGGAGATATATTAGTTTTCATATAGGAAAAAATCTACAAGTGTTTTTATAAAGACCAAATTATTGTTAATTAAGGTGTTACTTTGAATAATTTGGAGAAGTAACTTTCTAGCTGCATTCACTTTTATTTTTTTTTATTGCTGAAAGTATTACAAAGGGTATTACATATGTGTCCTTTTTCCCCCCCCCGCCCTTGACAGTCCCCTAGCCTCCCTGCCTTCACTTTTATATTGAAGTTAAGAATAGTTTGTTATGAATGGTTAAATAAAAAAATTAATTGAACTGAATCCTAAAGAAAATAAAAGAAGCACTTATCCGATGAAATGTACTTTGTAAATCAGTTTGCAGATTAACTGCAAAGGTTATTTGGAACTCTATAATCTTAAAGTGAAATGGGCCGTTTAGCCATTACTTCTTTTAAAAATCTTTATGTGGTCCATTCATTTCCTGGACATTCTTAAGGTAAATTATGTGGTAGTCTGTATTATCTTTAGGTTTCTTCTCACTAAACTGGTTTTGAAAAGCTCAGGAGATAAGACATTGTAAATTAAATGGCTGATTCATTACATAATATTCTTTAGGCATTAGAGAAAGTTAATGTTTTTTGTCATTTGGTTAGGCACTTGTTGGGTCTAAAGTATAACTCTTTAAAATAAATATGCAGTACATGCCAGGGAAGAAAAAGTGTTTAGGGTTGTCCAGCCTCATAGAATGAACAAAGAATAAAGGTAGAAAATTAATCAAGTCCACAGGCATGACGACCCTAGTCTGTTTGAACTGGCAAAAGAACTAATCATGCTGCCACCCAGGTCTTAAATTGATGGGTCGCTGGTGATATTTTCAACTCCTTTAAAGTTAAAACAGTGTATTACAATCTCTACAGCAAAAGAATATTTCTGTTTTTAAAGTATTCAAGTAAGAGATTAATATTCCTTCTCTCTATAATACACACCATCTGTTTTACTAAGTTATACATGTATCTCAAACAGTCAGAGCCGTGGTTCCCAACTTGGCTGTAAACCAGAAACCTTGGGAAGATCACTACTAGAGCCACTGGTGGAGACTCTGGCTTAAAGGATTTGATCTGTGGGGAGGTTGGGGGAGGGATGTGAATTCAAGTTAGAATTCAGGGTTTGTTTCTTCTGGAAGCTATGTTGCAATGGTGAGCTGGGTTTGTGGATTTTTTAAGTACAACAGATAGAGCTACATTATCTGTTAAATAACTTTTGGGAACTTATCTAAAACACCAAACCACTCTTCATAGTTCCTTCTTTTAACAAATAATGTGCTTTTGGTACTAAACAATGAAATTTATGGAACTCTTGTGTCTTCAAGGTCACAATCTTATACTTTTTTGTGTGCCAAAAATAAGCCAGCCTTTTATCTTATAAAAACAAAAAGAATCGACGATTTGAGTGAGTAACTATCATGAGGAAGACACAAGCAAACAAAAAGACTGTCACACAAGGCCAAGAAGTTAAGTATAAAACCAAAATTTGTAAAATTTTTAAATTTAGAAACTCTACAGGGAATCTCTTTGGTTCGTGACTTTTTGTGTTTTCTGCATAATAAAATAGCTCAGAAAAAAAGGTAGCTTGTTTAGAAAGGAATACTGCATAGACATAATTGCGGAAATATGCTGGAGGGCAAGAAACCAGATGATAAAAGCACTTTAAAAAGGCAAATCATACAAAAGAGTAGAGGATACTTTGTAGTCAGTACTCAAAGGTAGCTGCTTTCAATAGCGGGAAGATGAGAAGAGTGAGGTTAGCTAGGTGCTTCCCAAACTGTAAGTCTGACCTCTGGTGAACCTAACAGGAGACACTAAGGCAAGCTGGGACCAAGAGCAGTACAGTGGTGTTGCCAGTTCTCTGAAAACCATTTTCATCCTATTCCCACTTATTCAAGGCAAGCACACACGCACCTCCCGGCGGCGGCTGCACAGCCAGAGTTGGATTTACCCTGTGTTGTCTCCATGGAGATTACGGCATTTAGGTGGAACTTAAGGAGAGATAGGTTTGGGTTCAATGGGAAGAAAAACTTTCTAAAAGGCTGTCAAAACGAAAGCAAACCACACGCTTTGCCACACACTGAACCCATGACTCTGAAGGTTAGAGCATGACTAAGTATAATCTCTAGAAAAGGTCATTGTGTTCAGTGTGAGCTTGTCCTAGCGTCCTCAGTGGTCCTTTCAAAGCTGTTTTGATGGTTCTGTGGTCCAACCTCCTCTCTTCTCCATTAGCATCTAATCACCTCAAATTTCATTCTGTATCCATTTGGTTTAAAAAAAAGTGACAAAAGGGAATTGAGAAATTCTTCACAAAGAGCCAAAGTGTTCCTGCACAAAGATTGTGAAACAGAGGGTTAGCGACTAGCTTTATTATAGTGGACTTATTTATAGGTTTTAGATCTTTGGTTACTTTTGGCAAGAAGTGAATCCTGAAAGCTCATACCAAGAGCTTTAAATAGATAAATAATAACCCCATAGTAAAGCCAGTGTCTTTGTTCTCTCATTTATGCCCAGATTCGTGACTCCGGGAGCCGAAAGTACACCCTGATCTTTATGCATACCTTGAAACAGCAATGAAGGAATAACTTAAACTTTTCAATTAGGCATGAAAGGTGGAGGTGGAAAAAACAAGATATAGAGCAGTTACCATTGAGACAGAACCATCAATTCATAGAATAGCTTCAGACCTGGGAGCTGGAGGGGTCCCCTAAGGAAAATGTCTTCATACATGTCCTGTGTGTAGTGAGCGCATTAGAATCAACAGGCCAGCATTGTGGCTGGAGCACTGAAGCTCGGGACTGAGGCAATCTTGAATTGAGGTCTGTGCCCAAGCACCTCTTTACAATGGCTTTCCATATACACCACAGGGCCAAAAAGAACCGAAGAATTTTAGAGCAAGGCCGATTTCGAGCCCAGGTCTGCCATAATAATCCCTTCCTGACAAGCAGAACAGGGTCACCCAACAAGTGTGACACGAAAACCTTTCGCGGCTGCGTTACCAGGCCCAGGGCTTGCAGGACACACAAAAGGCTTTTTCTGCTCGTTTACAGGGTACTCTGGAAGCCAAGCTGTTTGCCATGGGAAGGTCTGGGAAGCGGTGGGGGAAGGTGGGACGCAACAGGTTGTCCACATCCGGCTGCCAGTCTGTGCAACAGGAGAGCCATTCTCCGCGGTCCCTCGGCCCCGACTTGCGGGGGCGGCGGGAGGAAGGGGGCGCACACCTGCGCTCCTCCCCACCCGGGGCGCCAAGCACCTGGCGGGAGACATGCTAGGCAGCCGTCGGAAAAGCGCGGGGAGAGCGCTCTGCTTCCGAGGGCGAGCGCGGCTGCAGCGGGCGGCATGGCGAGCACCGCCTTGGAGATCATCGCGTTCACCGTGTCTATCTCGGGCTGGTTGCTGGTGTCTTCCACGGTGCCCACCGACTACTGGAAGGTATCCACCAACGACGGCACGGTCATCACCACCGCCACCTTTTGGGCCAACCTGTGGAAGACATGCGTTACCGACTCCACAGGGGTCTCCAACTGCAAGGACTTCCCCTCCATGCTGGCGCTGGACGGTCTGCATCCCGGGCCCCTGCCCCCTGACCCTCCCTCTGTCAGGCCGCCGGACTGAGCGCTCGCTCGGCTTCGCGACCCCCGCTGGGACCTGGGGTGGGGGCGGGCAGACTTCTCTGAGATCGGTCCCTCTTTTCCCCTGGGGCCCCAGGGAGCTGGGGCGAGTCCCCCGTTCCGTCGTTCTCCGCCCCTGGACGTTGGTCTTGCGTGGGCGCCTATGGGAGCCCGGGAGCCCGGGTTAGGGGTGGGGGTTGGGAGGGGGACACGCAGACAGGCCTAAATGGGGCGGGTGACTTTCGGGGGTCGCGGGTGGAGGGGAGCAGTTTTGCTGTCCTGAGAGTAAAGGACACGGTTGTGGGACCCCCACCTCTTGCGGAAGGGACGGCTAGGACACCGAGTCACGCAGAGGGGGCTTGTCTTCTGCGTCGCTCCCAGAGGAGCTGGGTTCTAAGGGTGTCATGGACTCGTCCAAGCGAAATGGGCTTGCCTTGAACTCCCTTAGCCGTTTCGTGAATTCTTTTAAAAGTGG